TCTCTCTTACATCTTTCTTGTCAGACACATCAGTTTGATCTTTACAGGCTATAAGTAAATTATGCTGTTTTATATGGCTTTAGAAATCAAATACCAACAGAATCTCAATCCTTATTATGTCAAAGACTCAGCCTCATATGACTGACCTAGTAACTTGGAGGCATAAAACCTTAAAACCTCATGTTCCAAAAATGCTTTTGTTAAATTTAATGACAGTGTAGGCTCATTTAGCATTATAACCGTCACAATGTGTAACAAAGCAGCTGGATGTGTAACAAAATTTTCAGAGATTGCAACAAAGCACCTTGGGGTTATCAACAAGAGTTAGCATCACGATCACAGGACAACGGTGTTGGAATACCATCTCCCAGAAATCTCCAGAGGTCTCAGGAAGCGGACCTTGTGTAGCAATAAACCGTGAAACTTTCTCACCCGTACCTATCTGCATTCAAGGTTCGCCAAGGTAACCAAAGATGAAACTCCAGCACGTTTTACTGCTTTGGCCCATCCAACATAATTATACTCAATATGAACCAACACAAAATAGAAGTCGGTTAAGTGACTGTACCCCAATAAAGCTCGCATTAATGTAACCATTCGCCGAGGAGGTGTTGCCTTTTGTAGAGTCAAGAATAATCCTGTTATTATCAACTGAAAGAGAAAGAAGAAGGCGATCAATGAACTTTCCAGATCGAAACTCCAAAGTGTCCAAAGCGATTTAATTCTATCACTTAAAGTCATAAGAAGATTTATTTTCCGCAATTACATGGGAGGACATCCATGTAGCGATTTTTCACCAAATTTGCATCTCGCAGAGCCACCGAACACTTTCTCATCATCTCATCCTTCGTTAGCCTCATCTCCTGTCAAAAAAAAAAACATGCCGATCGAATATTTCAGCTAAGAATTAGGAAGATGGAAGAATCGCTATCTGCCGACTTCGTGAATCTTTGTTAAGGGTACTAAACCCAGGCTGAGAGGAAATCAAGAGACCCAACATTCAGATGGAACGATTTCAAAGATGAGGCGAGAGAAGGGTCGACCAAGACCTGGAGGCGATCGAACGCCTGGGCGATTTTGGCTGGGGTTCTGAGCCTCCTCTTGAAGAAAGCTAGGGCTTCGGAACAAAGCTCGTGCTGTTCGCGCGAGAGGCGAAGCGGCGGCGGTGGATCCGAGCAGAGATCCCCGGGGTTGAAATTGGCGGAGGAGGAGGAGGAGGAGGAGGAAGCGGCTGTGGCCATGGCCGGCGTGCGAGCCCCGCGGCTGCGGCCCGTGCAGTTCCCTGCCGCCTCGGTCTCGCTTTTCTCCCAATCCACGGAAGGCGAAGAACAACAGTCACTATTCGTATCACTGTTACTCACGGGCAGGTCTCCATGTCGCGAGAAAAGGTTCCGTTGTCATGGCTATCAACTTAGAGATCACCAAATAATTTCTCCTTCTTATTTGTTCATTTAAACGATTTTTTTAATGTTTTTATTATCTGACTGGGATAAAAATATGAACAATATAGTTTCTATGAGCTGTCTTTTTTTTTTCTTTTTTTCTTGAGTAGAAAGGAATAAATAATCCTCATTCATTTCAATTTTTTTCCGTTTTTTATTATCTTAATGGACCATTTTATGCTTACTCTCAAGGTTCACAATATCGCACCGTATCAGTATTTCGATTAGGGCTCGATACCGGTACGGTACGGTATATCGAGCGATACACTCAAGTGTATCGAGTACTGTAATATTACTATAGTACTACAGTACTGCTACAGTGTACTCAGACCGATACGTACCGTCCCGTATCGGGCGGTACGGCTCGGTACGACAAACCCTGACTGCTCTTACTCATTATTAGAGTTAATTTAAAGCAAAAAATAATGAACAATGATTGAATTGTTTGTATATATATATATATATATATATATATATATATATATATATATATATATATATA